GGAGTCATCCTGGCTATGCTCTATAGTTGAATTTACAGCCTTGCCGTTGTTAAAAATACCTTAATGATGTATTTCAAGAATTATTGTCTACAGGGTGCCCCCTGTCGCCGCTGAATGCCACGTGAAACGCCGGCGGAAACTCCTTGCCATTCTGGGTGAATCGGGGACGCCGAGGGCCGAGGTCCCTCGTACTCGATTAATGTTGTTCTGTCCATGTGCCAACTCCTTATAAGGTATGTGAGCCAGTTAGGAATCATATTAGTATAGATTGTCTTGAAACAGTGGCTCTCCGCCCTTCTGGACGCAGCCCAGGGCGTTGCATGATGCCGCTTCATCGGGGCAAGTTGCCCTGCGTCGATGCTCTCAAGGCTTGTGCGCCGAAATCTAAAAAGGCAAAACGCTCCTGGAAGCCACCCTCCTACCAAACACCTCTGCTTTCCCTCGGTACCTAGCTAGCCTAAAAAGTGCGAACTGCGGCCTGGCGGTGGTGCTGCCCCTCTCATCCTCTACATGCACGCATACACGGAGGTATACACGCACAAATGTGCGGAAACGCCTGGGCAAGCGTGCAGCGACTCAAAAGGTGCTGGATCGATAAATGCAGGGTCATAAAGCCGGTCAACTGAACCAGTAAAAAGGAAGAAGTGTGTAGGACAATGTCAGTGCAACAGAAGCAGCCGAGGCAAGCAAGCATTTGCTGCCCATAGAAATAGAAAAGGCTGAAAAGGCCTGTCAACTAGTGGCGCATGCAGCGCAAATCCGGCAGGCGCAAGCAGGAGTATATAGGGCGTGTGTTGGAAGCTTTCGGTAGCCGCAATCCTGTGGATGCAGCGGAGAGCAAACACCTGCTTAAGCTGTACACGCCAGTCAGAGTTTCTGTTCTGAAGAAAGGAAAATGTGAATAAGACACTGCGGAACGCGGCTTTGGTTGAATAGTATCGGCAGCCGCCGGGTGCCATGGAGAGGTCACTTCTTTAAAGGGCCAACAAGCCAAGGGCCGCAATAGCAACGGCCAGCAGACTCGGGGCAACAGCAGAGGCTGAACCTGTGATGGATGCCTTGATCTTCTTCCACTGCT